GTTCCATTTCAAAGAGCTTGACGCTCGGCGTAACCTTGGCGGACGGCCACTCCAACATCCAATCCCAGAGCTTGACGATGAATCACGGGGTTTGTCGCAAAGCGGACAGGCGTCGTCACAACAATAGCTGGGGATTGTGGGTAGTGTAGTCTCTTTGGCGCTCCACATTTCAGAGAAAACAAGTTGTTTCTCAGAATTGAAGGGGAAAAACACAAAAGCATAGTACACAATTTAAACCTATCAATGTCCTTTAATTAACAAAGGTAATCTGGTGTTTTTGAGTTGATGAGTAGTGGAGATATCACTGTCAAATCAATCGACAGTAAGGAGAATACTTACTTCCGGGTGTACAATTCTCCGTTATCCAATGGGAATGGACGCTCACATTGCCTTTAAGAGCTGCCGACATAAATGGATGCGGTGCTTCCCTGAGCGACAAATACCACCGCTAATGGGAATACATTTTAATCAGTTGAAAGCTCTTTGCGTCCGTTTATGAAGCTGAAGGAGCCTCGGCGCGTCACAACTGGACGCCACGGGACCCTGACCAAGCGTCGCTCCTGGACGCTTAGGGAGTGAGTGTGTGTTGTCCTGTCTCATTCAGGATCTAATACAAGATTGCACTACTCACCCATCAGTGCATCCACGGGAATGCTCCTTCATACCTCAAAGAACTACTCACATCCAGTGGTGACTGGTCATTAGGGGCAGGTGGGGCACAGCCCCACCTAGTGTCAGCAGAAATTATTAAAAATAATGATTACAACAAAATGCAAAAAAAAATGTTTTAAATATATTTTAAGATCATGTTTAATCATCTGATTCGTCTGTACATTGCTGTTTTGGTCTGTGTTCTTCTAATTAGTGTCTACAGTGTGTGCCTATTGAGCTGTTTAGAGCCATGTGGGACAAAATCCGATCATGCCCCTCCCTCTCTCTGTCTAAGTGAACGGTGACTGTAAAAACTACACTGCGCATGCTCAGAATATTTTCCTATTTAATGTGTGTTTCAAAAAAATAATGACCATAGGGAAATAGTGCTGCCATCCCCACCATATGTCATCTCACATCATTCAGAGCTGATTGGCTGTAAGTATGTGTGCCGCGAAAAGTGTGGTGTGTGAAGAGGAGAGGAGAGAGATGCAGTGAGGCGTCCTAAAACCCGGAAGTAAGCTGCGCATGGCTTCCCTCGACAAAAAAGCAATGAGATTTATCCATAAGGTTTTAGAAAATAGCTCCAAATAAGATCTGTGGGAAACGTAGCTGTTAGATAAATGCACGTTTTGTTCAGCCGGATAATATCCACATGTCTACCCTACTTTTATAATTTTCGAATCATAAATCTATTGATTAGATTAGATTTATGATAGACTTTTGAAACTACAAGAACATAAGGAGGACTTTTACAAAAAAGTAATAGAGATTTTTGTCCAGAAGGATAGGCAAATGGCCTTAATCTTCAAGTCAAGGTAAGACTGCAATTTTATTGAAAATGGGATCTTATTAAGAGAGAACAATTCAATATTTAAATGATAAAATTAAATGTTTTGGGTATCCTTTTGTTGAACTGTCTGTTTAAAATGAATTGAAGCATCAGACAAAAAAAGCTTTTGAAAATAATATTATATTTTGATTAAGGTCAAAATATAATATTTGTAAACCTGAAGAGTCAGTGCCAGTGCCTCACCAGCCATGAACCTCACTGCAGAAGCTATAGACATCTAAGTGTTTTGTGCCCCACCACTTTTGTACATATAAAAACGCCACTGCTCACATCACAAACCTCCACACGCAACCTCGGTTCCACAACAAACCATCTGCTTCACCCCCCCCAGGACCAAACTCCGCACAATGGGGGATCGGGCTTTCTGTGCAGCTGCTCCTCACCTGTGGAATTCCCTCCCAGACCACCTGAGGACTCCACAGACCACTGCAGCCTTTAAAGGGCCCATGTCATGGCCATTTCTACTGATCATAATTCCATTGTTGTGGTATACTAAAATAGATTTATACTGAGCAATTTTCCAAACTCCCATTGGTTTCTCTGTAAAGTATGTGTATTCACCGGTATTCACTCTCTGTCCTAAACGGCTGGTTGGAGCTCCTGCCCCCCCTCCCTGTGAGCCCAGTGTGCTCTGATTGGTCGGGACATTGCAAGGCTCGTTGCTGCGATCTGCTGCTAGGAGCAGACAGGCTTCCGGTTCGGCGATACAGCGAGAACAAGCGAAACTCCTCCTGAGCACACACAAACACTCACAGCCGAAGTAAAAACAATAAGTGTGGCTTGATATTGAGTAAGAAAAAGGTTTATAATAACGCTGTGAGAATGGGTCTGCGGAGAGCATTTCTCCGCGATCCCAACTTAGCAGCCCGAAAAACGTTTACCCATTTAAACAGTCATGGTAGATACCTTGATTGTTTTAAACATCATAAATACACAAACAACAATGAATACTTACAGGTTGTGTACCCGAATCTCCCGCTGGTCCAAACAAAGTAGGAACAGCATCGTTCTTCAGTGCCCTACGCTGTACATATCCGGCATGAATCGCTGAAAGGTTTGTGAAGCTTTGTTTCGTGAAATGCTGGCAGAGGGTGTGGCCTCTGGGTATTCACACGTCACAGTACCCAGGAAGTAAACAATGGAAAATGAGAAATCTCCAACGAGGGTTTTGGGGCAGCATAGACTGTGTTAGAGTTTTACTCGCTATAGGGTGTACTTTTAGGGTTTTTGACTCTGCAGACCGTTTACATGCATAAAAACCTTCATAACACACAAGGGAACGGGTAATAACCGGAAAAGCATGACATGGGCCCTTTAAGAAAGGCCTAAAAACCTTTTTCTTCCTGTAGCACTTTGGGATTGCTTTTAGCAATGAAAGGTGCTTTACAATTACAATGTATTGCTTGCTAACTCATACCTGGATGGATCGGGTTGCACTGTGAGAATCACCTTTTTTTATTTCTCCAGTGCTTTCAACACGATCCAGCCACGGCGACTGATGCCCCTTTCCCACCAACGCAGCTCCCGTTCTAACTCCGTGCTTGCGCTCTTCTGGTTCGGAACCAGTTTTTCTTTTCAGCCCTCGTTTTGTTCACACCGCCCAGAGCCCGACTGGTGCTGCCACTGCTGCATCATGACGTCACAGTTTACGTCGCTGATTTTCTCCCCTACGGCACTCACAACAACAACAATGGGGGACTGCGTCGGGTCGATGATCGTGTTACTTTTAATCATACGAAGCCAGATTAATTTAAATAACTTCTGCAACCTTATACTTTTCCCGTGGGCTGCTGCCGTTGGTGGGCTGCTGCCGTTGGTGGGCTGCTGCCGTTGGTGGGCTGCTGCCGTTGGTGGGCTGCTGCCGTTGGTGGGCTGCTGCCTTCGGTGGGCCGCTGGCTCTGGCATAGGTGGGCCGTGGACTTTCACAGCGCCAGTGCGCCGGTCCCCCTGCCGCATCCGCCGCAGCCGTTGCGAGGCTCCGGCAGCTCCGGCAGCTCCGGCAGCTCCGGCAGCTCCGGCAGCTCCGGCAGCTCCGGCAGCTCCGGCAGCTCCGGCAGCTCCGGCAGCTCCGGCAGCTCCGGCAGCTCCGGCGCAGCGGCACTGCCGCTCGCGAGGACCCAGGTTCGATTCCGGCCTGAGGTCCAAAAATTAAAAAAAAAATAATAATAATAATCTCCTGTTCATCGCGTCCATTCGCGACCCACCTCACAAGCTGAGTTCTTTTTTTGATTTCCTGCTTTTTAAACACATGTGCTCTCCAGTACAGGAGATACAGTTATATACTGCAGGGCTCAACGCTAACTTTTAAAAGTGGTTGCCAGGCTGGCAACCAGGCATCAGATTTTGGTTTCCAAAACTGAAAATACGGTTGCCATTTTTAGTCACCTTATATTTTAAATAATTACGATACTATATAGTTATACATCAACTTCATAATGAAAATGTGAGACAAAAGAATGTTCAAATGCTTTACAATAAGTAATTAACACACTTATTTAAAACTAAAGTGGTACTAAACTTGTCCACCCTCAATTGCTGGTATACAAAATACCAATAGTGCAGCTGCTGTCATGTTCTTCACAGATCCCTCACAAATGAATTGAGCAAGTCACTAGTTTCTTGGTCATCCGTTGTCTCCCTTTCAAATTTGGGTTTTCTTGACCTTTGTGCTGACCCCCACCATAGATCCATTTGCCCTTCAGCATTGAAGTCTTGGATTGGCCAGACTAATACATTTCTAATGTTAAATAAATGAAAACCATTCACAGTTAAGAATTAGATATTAATGCTGTAAATTACCTTTAAATATGTCTGACTATATTTAAAATGTGTTACCTTTTTATAGAAGTGATTATATTTGTATGCCAATATTTTTCCTACGGTAAAGTTTCGTTTAGTACTTTTATTTTGGTAGTAATAAGATCGGGACTCTTATTTTGAAGGAACTTTTACCGGAAGTGAATGCACAACGAAGCAGAATGTACATATATATTTCGCCTCCAAAGACTTTACACATTTCCGCTTTCGTTCGGGTTCATCTTGCGCTTTATCAGTTGAATCACTTTGAACATTCGTTTGAGATGTTGACGGGTTGGCCAAACTTTTTACCCCACAGTCAAACAACTTAATTTGCTTCGCCATTTTTTGTAAAACGAACACACGGCACACCGCGCACGCGAGTAAACGTGCATCGCTTTCTGGCTCCGTAATCACACCAATGCACGTGCAACTTAAGTATCAGGTTCCGACTGGTCACAACAATAATTAAATATCACTCTTAATACAACAAATAATTAACATTTATCTATTTTGGGGTGCACATTTTGCTGTTTGCTGTCCTTATTTCTTATGTTAGAAACTGGTTGCTACTGATGGCAACCAAAGGCCAAGAAGTGGTTGACATTTTTTTCTGAATGGTTGCCAATGGCAACCTGGCAACCGTTACTGTCGAGCCCACTGTATTTTAAGTGGAGAGCTGTGCAGGTGGTGGGAGGTTTTGGTCCTGCCAGAGGGGAGCAGAACATCAGCTCCCCTTTTTTGGCAAGGGAGCTGATGTTCTGCTCCCACTTGAGGTCCTGGGCGATGATGGTGCCCAGGAAGCGGAAAGACTCCACAGCAGTGACTGGGGAGTCTGATGAGGGTGCTGTCGCCTGCAAACTTTAGGAGCTTGGCGGACTGGTGACTGGAGGTGACATCAGTGATCATTTACCTGTTTTATTGTCTATCACTGCAGTTCTAAGAAACCTAAAGTCGCCAGCCATTTCAAATACAAAAGATTGAGAACTGAAGATAACATAATTGCATTTAAGAATGACTTACTAAATCAGAATCGGAGGGTAGTATATGAGAGAGACGATATTGACAAGGCCTATGATGAATTTCTAAACATTTTTAAATCACTTTATGACAAAAACTGTCCTGAGAAACAATGCAGAGAGAGACACAAACAAACTCACAGTGCATGGATCACTAATGGCCTAAAAAATGCCTGCAAAAAGAAAAATACACTGTAGACAATTCATAAAATATAGAACTTCAGAAGCAGAAAAAATATATAAAAGAATAAATTAACCCATATTCTGAGGATATGTAAAAAAGAATACTATAATAAAATATTAGAGAATAATAAGGATAATATGAAAGGTTTATGGAAAGTATTAAATAGTGTCATTAGAAATGGAGCAAAAAGTTCAGGTTACCCTGAGTTTTTTGTGGACAAAATTAATGTTATTAATAATACAGAAGATGTGGTTAATGGTTTTAATGAATTCTTTGTAAATGTGGGGCCAGATCTGGCAGAAATAATTAACCGTAGAAACAACTAAAGGGGAAGATACGGACCTCTGGAATAAAAACAATAGCTCTTTCTTTCTCACACCAGTCGAAGAAAAAGAAATCATAGACACTGCGAAAATGTAAAAGCAAATCCTCGACCGATTGGAATAATATTGATATGATTATAGTAAAAAACGTTATTGAAGAAATTGCAGAACCATTGACACATCTCTTTAACTTGTCTTTTCAATCTGGTAAATTCCCAAATAAAATGAAAATAGCAAAAGTTATACCATTATATAAAACTGGGGATAAACAACATTACACAAATTACAGACCTGTTTCATTGCTCTCTCAGTTTTCCAAGATCCTTGAAAAGCTTTTTACAAAAATACTTGACAATTTCATGGAAACACATCAGCTTTTGGACGACAGTCAATATGGATTCAGGAAAGATACCGTAGATCAACATCTATGGCACTAATGGAATTAAGTGAGGAAATAGAAAACTGCATGGACAATAAAAAACAAGCAGTGGGAATATTTATAGACTTACAAAAAGCATTTGACACCATAGATCACAATATTTTACTGACAAAACTGGAACGGTATGGCATCAGAGGGGTGGTGGCTGTTCATAATATACATCAACGACATTTGCAGAGTATCAAATATATTGAAATGTATTTTATTTGCAGATGATACTAATATTTTTTGTTCCGGTGACAATTTGAAAGAGCTAATGGAAGTGATAACAGCAGAAATTATTCAAGTAAAACATTGGTTTGACACAAACAAATTATCATTAAATATAAGCAAAACAAAGATTATGTTATTTGGAAAACATAAAACAAATCCACAGGTGGAATTAATACTAGATAACATAAACATAGAAAGAGTATTATGAAATTAAGTTCCTTGGTGTGGTTTTAGACCACAAAATCAGCTGGAAACCTCATATCACTCATGTAAAAGCAAAACTGGCTAAGACTATTGCAATATTGGGAAAAGCCAGACACATTCTGGACTACAACTCATTGTATACTCTATATAACACACTAATATTGCCATATCTGATTTACTGTGTGGAGATTTGGGGAAACACCTACAAAACCAACCTACAGCCGTTATGCACATTACAAAAAATGGCTATAAGAGTTATTGTTACGATTATTGTGTTATGTCACGTTTTGTATGTCTTGTTTTGGGTGTTTTGCTGTTCTCCCTGTCATGTTTTCCTCTTGGTATATTGTCTGGTCCTTTTCCCTGTGTTTTTCCTCCTGTCGTTAGTTTCCCTGGTGTGTCTAGTTGTCTGATTGTGTTCACCTGTGGCCCTTGTGTTTCTCCTCCCCTGCCCGGCTGTTTCTCGTTTTGTGATTACTCCTCCCTGTATTTAGTCTTGTCTCTTCCTGTGTTCAGTGTTGGTTCGTCGTTTGTCTGTGACTGTGTTCAGTGTTGGTTCGTCGTTTGTCTGTGACTGTGTTCACCGGGGAGTGTTCTGATTTTCCGTGTGCCATATCCTTGAAATAAAGGTATTTTCAGTTTTTTCTGCATTTGGGTCCTGCCTGCTTCACTCACCGTAACAGAACGAACCAACCAGGATGGACCCAGCGGATTCAGCTTTTTTGATGCTACAGGCGGACCGTCTTGGGTGCTCTCTGGAGTACATTTTTTATACGTGGGATGACGCCTCATCTATACGGGGTAGAGTGGCTGCTTTGAAGGAGGCACGCCAGGAGGTTGCTCGCAAGCCCTGGCTCAGGAGTTTGTTGCCTGAGTGGCTACAACTTTTTACCAGTAGTCCTGGAAACTTTTCTCAAGCCTCTAACCCTTTTCTGGGATCCGACTACTGTACTGGTAGAGGTCCACTGTGTCTCCAAGGGGCCTGTAGGAGACGCAGGGCCAGAATTCCAGCCCGTGCCCCAGCAGCCATGGTTCCGGCTCCAGTGCCGGCCCCAGCAGCCATGTTTCCAGCTCCAGAACCGGACCTTACAGCCATGTTTCCGGCTCCAGAACCGGACCTTACAGCCATGGTTCCGGATCCAGAACCGGACCTTACAGCCATGTTTCTGGCTCCAGAACTGGACCTTACAGCCATGTTTCCGGCTCCAGAACCGGACCTTACAGCCATGTTTCCGGCTCCAGAACCGGCCCATACAACCATGATGCCAGCCCCAGTAGCCATGGTTCCAGACCTAGTTCTGGCCCCAGCAGCCATGGTCCAGGCCCCAGTTCCGGCCACAGCGGCCATGGTTCCAGACCCAGCTCTGGCCCCAGCTGCCATAGTCCCTTCTCTGGTCCCCTCTCTAGTCTCTTCTCAAGTTCCCCCTCTAGTCCCTTCCCAAGTCCCTTCTCTAGTCCCTTCCCTAGTCCCTCCTCAGGTCCCATCTCAAGTCCCTTCCCAAGTCCCTTCTCTAGTCCCCACTCTATTCCTTTCTCTATTCCTTTCTCTATTCCTTTCTCTATTCCTTTCCCTAGTCCCCTCTCTAGTCCCTTCCCTAGTCCCCTCTCTAGTCCCTTCCCTAGTCCCCCCTCTAGTCCCCCCTCTCTTCCCTAGTCCCTCCTCTAGTCCCTTCCCTAGTCCCTTCCCTAGTCCCTTCTCTAGTTCCCTCTCCAGTTTCCTCTCTAGTCCCCTCTCAAGTCAACTCTCAAGTTTCCTCTCGAGTTCCCACTCAAGTCCCTACTCAAGTACCGTTGGAGGTTCCGCTGGGGGTCCTGCCAACCCTTTGTCCTGTCCCGTTGGAGGTCCTGCCGTCTACTCTCCTGCCGGGGGTCCTGCCAATCCTATGTCCTGTGCCGTTGGAGGCCCCGCCGACTACTCTCCTGCCGGGGGTCCTGCCAACCCTGTGTCCTGTCCCGTTGGAGGTTCCGCTGGGGGTCCTGCCAGCTCTATGTCCAGTCCCGCTGGGGGTCCCGCTGACAACTCTTCTGCCGGGGGTCCTGCCAACCCCTGGTCCTGTTCCGTTGGAGACCCCGCCATCACCTGTCTCGCCGGCTCCGGTTCCTGTTCGGCCGACACCGGGTCCTGCCCGGCCTCCGGAGCTGTCTGGTCTTCGCCCTCGAGCCCGGCCCCCTGAGAGCCGCGGTCTTCGCCCTCGAGCCCGGCCCCCTGACTCTGCCTGCCGCGGTCCTCGCCCTCGGGCCCGGCCCCCTGACTCTTCCTGCCGCTGTCCTCGCCCTCATGCTCGGCCCCCTGAGTTCGCCCACGGTGGCCTTCGTTTTTCCTCCTGTCGTTAGTTTCCCTGGTGTGTCTAGTTGTCTGATTGTGTTCACCTGTGGCCCTTGTGTTTCTCCTCCCCTGCCCGGCTGTTTCTCGTTTTGTGATTACCCCTCCCTGTATTTAGTCTTGTCTCTTCCTGTGTTCAGTGTTGGTTCGTCGTTTGTCTGTGACTGTGTTCACCGGGGAGTGTTCTGATTTTCCGTGTGCCATAACCTTGAAATAAAGGTATTTTCAGTTTTTTCTGCATTTGGGTCCTGCCTGCTTCACTCACCGTAACAGTTATCAATAATGTTGGATATCTTGAACACACTAATGTATTATTTTTGAAGTCACACATATTGAAGTTCACTGATCTGGTTAAATTTAAAACGGCACAAATCATGTACAGAGCAAGACATAATCTACTTCCTAGGAAATTAAAAACATTGTTCATAGACAGAGAGGGTGGGTATAATTTGAGAGGAAATCTACAGTTGAAACAACTCGAGGTCAGAACAACTCTGAGAAGTATGAGCATAACAATCTGTGGGGTGATTTTATGGAATGGTTTGGAGCAGGAGTACAAAGCACAAGCATAATTCAGTTTAAAAGGATGTACAGAAACACTTTTTTGGAAAACTATGAGAATGAAGAGAGGTGATTGAAGATGAGAAATGATTGTATATGTATGTATAAATGTAAGTAGGAATAACTTGCATAGTCATTTAATCCTGTGATCCTTGTTTTCTTCAGGACTGCGATGATGGTGGAGGATTTGAAGCATGCTGAAACGTGGCATGACTCCAGTGAGCTGTTAAAAATGTCTCTAAAAACTGGGTACAGCTGATCATCACAGTGCTTCAGGGTGGAGGGGGAGACATTGTCTGGGCCAGCAGCTTTCCTAGTGTCTGAGCACATGCACCTGTAACCTTGGCTGCTGTGCTCTCAGTGTTTTGTGCCTGTTGGCGTCAGCTGATAGAGGTGTTATGATTTTATCTTGTTATCCACAATGTTGATTATTCTCTCTGAACTAGCTAAATACATGGGTCTGGGGTAGAGTTCTTCAGAATTGACGTGGCAACTCTACCGTGAAGTCAGAACCTCTGACTCTTTGACTTGTTTTGTGAATTCTGCGGCCGAAGCTCCAAATAAACCATCAGTGTTTGACATCAAAGCTCCAGCTCTCCCCATGTCTCCTTTTGAGTCGGTGACTCCTCCTGCATTGCAGCCAGAGATATCACCACTATCGCCTCTATAAACACGGCTCCAGCTGCAGCGCGGGGTGTTTGTGTAAATACCTCCCCGTATCTGTTTTGCTGGTGGAGTGCGAACTGAGAGGGAGAAAGTCACAGCCTTTGTCTATAGCTTTAACTCACACCACCGCCGTCGCTATAAAACGAGCTGGTCCATAGCCAGGGTTAAATAAACTAAACTTTAGTTAACTCACCAAAAGTAAATGATTTGAGAAAAATAAATAATATAAAGATGTAAAGCAAAATTCTGGTAGTATAAATGTGCTGCAAAATGAAAATAAATAGCAAAATAGTTTTTATGTCCTGCTTCTGAGTGTGCAGGAGAAAATGTAAACAAGAAGCGCACTATACAGGGTGTGTGCTGTAGATGTAAGAAGAAAAGTAGATTATATTGCTTTAAGAATACATTCTTAAATTGTATTGCTGATATGTTAAGATATGTTTGTGACCTTTTATAAACCCTATGCCCCGTCCTGCACCCCGAGACCCTCAGAGGCATCACTGCTGGTCGTAAAGTCCTGCCTGAGGAGATCAGGGTTGCAAAATCTGTCTGCTCTTTTAGGTCAATGTTGTATTATTTGTTTAGTTTATTCTTAAATCTATGTATTATATGGTAATAATGAAAAAAACGTTATGTATTGAACACATTCCGAAACAAAGCTGATAAGGCTAGACTCAGACATAATACAAATTATTGTCGAAACCTTTTGCGCTGTTGCTGCTACTTTGTTGATTACCTATTCCAGCGGTGGGGAACCTTTTTCCTCTCAAGGGCCATTTCAATTTTTACAATATCCTCCGAGGGCCGTATACAATTTATTGATCTCTGCTTAAAAATACTAAAATCACAGATTAATTTCGCCTTTCTTTCATGCTGTGCAAAGAAAAAACAACCTCTTAATCTAGATATTTTACCATGACTCGCGCACGCATGCATGCACTGTAGTGGAAATGTTATTATATCCTGATATGTTTAAACCAAATGCTTCTCATTTGGTTAGATGTGCTGTTTGCCTCTATCTACTCTACTTCAAGGCCACAGAGCTGTTTTGGCTACTGGGTTGAGACTCACACAAAGTCACACGAGAACTTCTACAGCTCAAGGCCAGGTGTCTAATAACAATGTGACCGTGTGAAGACAGATTTCTTACCTTCCCACCCCTTATTGTATATAAGCCTTTTTACTCTATTGAACTGCGCACACTCGCGCAGACATATTTTATACTCTGTGAGACCAGTGTCTATATTTTATTGTATCTAATGTTTGTTTGAGGCCTCGAATAAACATCACCAGAAAGACAACTCTGTCTGATTCACCATTTATCTGTTTTAATCACTCTGACTTGTACTCTACAGTATTGGGGTTTTTAGATTTCCATAACAATTGGCGCTGCGAGCAGGGTCCCTGCAAGTTCGATTGGGGACACCCCCGGAGGCTGGTGGTGGGCCCTCCAGGATCCGCGGATCTTCCTCTACCCCGACAGAAACCATATGGGACGAGAGGACCAGCGCCGGGGGTGGAACTGATTGACTTCACGGGATCCAACGGACTTAAAAAGGCTTTTCAATACTGGGTGAGAAGTGCAGTGTCTAAATTGTTTAAAGTTAAACGTAATTAAAACTCCATGACATTTATGAGAGGGACTGCTCGAAAGTAGGGTTTATCCCGTCGTAGATCGTGGGTTTACGATCAGTTTTTGCATGATTTGTACTGAGAAACAAATATCACATCATCGACGGATGAAAAAAAAGAAAGGTGTTTAAACACCTCTTGTTTTGTCAGGGGTGGTCTGGTAACATCTAGAGACTTTGTCATGGGAGCAAGGCAAAGTAGGGGGCTTGTACACCCCCCTGAGGGTCCGATTGTGGATGTCATGAGAGTAAAATATGGTGAGGACAGTCTGTCTAAATTAAAGATATGGACGGAAATGTTTGGATTTCCAAAGGGAGGTTTTTGAGTAAATTAAAAATCAAGAACCTAAAGAATAAATTACAAGAAGAAGTAGAAATAAAAATAAAGTTAAAGTAAAAGACTTATATAGAAAACTGGACACTCACAGAAAGTGTTTATAATAAATACTGGGAGGATTAAGCAGAATGCCGTGAAAGAAGGCAGTTGGCCTTGGGGCATTAAAGAAAATATTAAGGTTGGAATGAATGTGAAGAAAAGAAGGAAAATAAATTATTTCCAAAACCATGTAAACCCCAGACATCTCTGTGTCTTTCCATTGCAGGCGTGGGGGATCCTCTCCTCGACTGTGGATTTCCTTTCCCACCTTCCCTCGCTGTTCACCTGCCTGCTGAGGAGGCGGCTGGACCAGAGGCCGCAATAACTACAAAGTTCCCCGCCAAAGTCGACATGTCAAGAATCTGGGTATGCAGGCAGAACCGGGAGGAAACAGTCAATTACTATTACCACCGCTTAGAAAAAGTGTTCATTGAGAACAGCGGCATTATCAAACAAGAAGCCGGTGTGAGAGTTTGGGAAACACACCTCTCAAACGCTTTCCTCACAGGCCTATCCCCGGCTATTTCTTCATCAGTGCGAAACTCCTGCATTGGCGTAATGGACGGTGCCCGGCTGGAAGAAATTCGCCGACATGCCGTGCAGGCTGAGAAACACCTCTCAGAAGAAAAAGCCAGTGAGGAAAAGAGACGCCGCGCTCGCAAAGAAAAGCTGACCATGGTCCAGGTTGTTACAACCACCTGGGCTCAAGGTCATGGCCAGGGCAGAGGGAACCGAAGAGGAGGAAGAGACCGCAATAGAGACCGCAATAGCAGATGTTTTAACTGCGGAGAGATGGGTCATTGGTTCGCTGAATGCCCACACGAGAAGCAGAAAAAGAACTTTCGATCGGATAAATCGGACTGTAACAAAGACAATACTTCAAACTGACAGTAGTCGAAGGAGGGAGTGGGGAAAGGAAGGAAATTTGGTCGGGAGAGAGAGAACCACTGCCAGCAGCATCTAACCAGGGAAGTGACACACACACACATCATGCTATTGAAAATTGGAAAATGTAGAAGACATGCCTGTGGTTAAAGAGGGTACATATTTGAAATATGACAGTGAAACAGCATTTGAGAAATGTCCCACACTAACTTTAGCTATCATGGGTGTTGATGTTCTATAGTAAAAAGGGCAGATTTGCCTGATTGCAAATGTAGTGGTAGATTTATGCACTCAATAGGAGCGGCTGGGGTGACTGTAAAGGAGAAGTTTTTGTATCACTTCAGAGTAGAGATAACGTTGATGATAGTAATCCATTTCCCACATCAGTCAAAAACAGTTTATTTTATCCTCCGTCTGCCTAATAAATTTACTGGGCAGAGATCTGCAACTCCGGTTCGGCTTAGATCTCATTTATTCCACAAATGAGGGTTTTAAAGTCCGGCTGCCATCTCCTACGATGGTTCAAAAACTGGCATTTGATGATAAAGAACTGTGTGAATGTGTATGAAATGGCTGCTGACATATCCTGATTCTCAGGTGTTGTTGCGGGGTGACTGATCAACGTGTTTTCCACCTGCTGTGTTCATGGAGGCTTCTCATTTGCATTATACGTGCTAACGTTGTTGATGATCCATTTCTGTTAGAATGTGTGAATGATGAGCTCATACTTAAAACTATGCTTGAAGTTTGCTGTGCAGCTGGTTCCTGTTGCGCACCCACACAACACAAACTGTGTCAAATCCCAGGGGCGGTCCACACATTTTACTAGTCAGGGGCCCCACTGAGAGATAGAGGGATTTGGATCTAATCGTTAAAGATTTGGAGTCAGTCACTGATTGGACACCTACACACACAGAATATGTACATGTGTCACGTGACGTGTATCAAATGAAAATGTGCACGAACGTAGCCGTTCTGCGCACATTGCTGTTGGTTAAGGAGGATGATGTTGGTGATGCCATTTTCCACCTTTACGGGTAATTCTCATATCTCTGAGCTTCCTGCCGCGCTTTCAGATGTGCCATACTCACTCTGGGCAGCTCACAGATATGACGTAGGGTTAATGTCCACGTTCCGTTCAAATCAACCCCCGTACCCATTGAAACGTGAAGCTGTTGATGGCATTCAGCCAGTGTTTACCTCTCTGTTTAAACAAGGGGTCATTTTTCCGTGTAACGATTCCGGTACGCACTCCAGTGTTTCCTGTCAAAAAGATCAGAGACAAAACCTCCTGACGAGTGGAAATTTGTCCAGGATTTACAGCTGTAAATGCTATGCAGCTATGCACGCTCGTCCCAAGTCCTTATCTGATTCTTTCCCAAGTTCCAGCCTCTGCAGCATTTTTTTTTTTTACTGTCATAAGATCTCTCAAATGCATTTTTCAGTGTTCCTGTACACAAAGACAGTCAATTTTGTTCACATTTGAATATAAGGGTAAACCTTACAGATTCACACGTTTGTGTCAAGGCTACTGTGTACAACCAGGCATTGTATACAAGGTTGGTCTCTCTCCAAGTTTCTAAAGGCACCGCTCTCATACAAGGCCAGTTTAATGACCTCATGATTTGCGCACCCACAGCAGAACAGTGTGGAGCTGATACCATTTCCTTGTTAAAATACCTCGCAGCCGAAGGCCAGAAGGCTAGTTTGTCTAAACTCCAATATGTACAAAAAACAGTTACATTTTTGGGTGATGTCATTTTGGCGTATGTGTTCATAACACACGGCTGTTGTTATGCTTGCTGTGATGTTACATTAGTCCGTTCTCTGCTTGTAATTATGCCGTTACAAGTTTCAAAGTTGTATTTATCATCTGAATTTGCCGAAACAAGTTTGGTATTCTGAAGACCAATACTTGGTTTGTTCTAAAACAGATGAAAACAAACTGTCTTTTATACAAAATGGAAATATTATACAAGTAAAACTACATGTTACTTTAATCCCATGTAATTGTAAAATGAACACAGTCTTCCTTTGTATAAGTCAGGTGTTCTGAGTAGTCAAAATTACCTAAAATCATTGTACACATTTGTAAATATTATTTTCCACTTGTTACCATTGTGAGGCTATATTTACGCAGCTCTGCGTGATTTTGTAGCTACAATTCAGACTAATACACTACTAGAGGTGGAATAAGTACTCAGATCTTGTACTTGAGTAAAAGTAGAAGTACCAGAGTGGTACAGTAAAAGTCCTGCATTCAAAATGTTCCTCAAGTAAAAGTAGAAAAGTATTCTCATCAAAATATAGTGAAAGTAGCGACAGTAAAAGTATTCATTGTTTGATTGGTCCATTTCAGAATAATATATATGATATGTTTTATAATGATTGATCATGAAAGTGTTCTCAAAGCTGGTAAAGGTGCAGCTAGTTTGAATGACTTTGTATACTGCAGGGTAGCTGGTGGATTTACTCCAGGTGGAACTAAAATCTGATTATATCACTTGATTATATTTCATATCATTCATCCACACATCTATGAAGTAACTAAAGGTATTAAATACTTGTAGTGAAGGAAAAGTACACCATGTACCTCTGACTTATGTTCACTGCCAACCTAAAAGTACCTAAAAGAATAGTAATCAATAATGTATTGAAAAGTTATTTGGCTGATTGTTTTTATATCGGCTCAGCCAGGTTATATGCCCAGTCTACGTACACTCTAAAAACAAATGCTTGGCTTAACAAAGAGAATCAAGGCAATAGGTTGCATCGATGGTTATTGAGTTAAGACAACTTCTAATGAAATGTTGTTAAAGCAACAAAGTTATTTGAGTTAGGGGAAAAGGCGCTTCCTCTACATAGAGGTGTTTTCAATTACCACTTACTTAATAATTGGTAGCATAAACACAAGTTTTTATGTTGATTACTCCAAAAGTTCCAACTTGTTTTACCGTATGATTTAAATGTAATCTTAAATTGTGTATACTTAATTACCAACATGTTGAACATGGACAGATGTTTTTAAGTTCACTCAAAAAAATGATTCAAGCCCTTCTTAGACTTGACACATTAAAAATGGTTTCACTTTACTTAAATATTTTTATTTAAGAAATAAACCTAAGTATAGTTCATTAGTGTAACACAAATTACATTAATCAATTCACTTATTAAATGTATTTAAGACAGAGCAACTCAAAATGAATTGTTTTCATTGGGGACCGCCCCTTTGCACACCCCCTTTGCGTATGCGCAACATCCGTTCTGTCATTTGCCGCCTTTTGTCTAACACTGACTGTGGAAACTGACTGGGGAAACTGACGGTGGAAAGTCTATTATTTGGTAAGTATTTGTTTTTTCTAGTAGTTTAGAATGTTCCCTGTTTCCAAGTAATGCCTTTTCATAATATCGACAAGAATATTTGAAACCACCGTGTTATATTTTGCTCCGTTTTTAGTTGGGTCTAAACAGCAAGCTAGCTAGCTTGCTAGATATGGTTAGCATTGAATACTGGATAGTAGAGATCATTAGATTATATTACATTAGATTTAACGTTATTGTCATTGAACACAGTACACCGAAATTCAGTTTAAGTTCAACCAAAAAATGCAACGAGTAATTAAAGTGCATGAGGTAAAGCGGCAAGCTAGCTAGCCAGATAACTGGTTTGTTAGCTAGCTTGCTAGATACGGTTAGCATTGGATACTGGATAATGGAGATCATTAGATTATATTACATTCGATTTAATGTTATTGTCATTGAACACAGTACACCGAAATTCAGTTTAAATTCAACCAAAAAATGCAAAGAGTAATTAAAGTGCATGAGGCAAGCTAGCTAGCCAAATAACTGGTTTGTTAGCTAGCTTGCTAGATACGGTTAGCATTGGATACTGGATAATGGAGATCATTAGATTATATTACATTCGATTTAACGTTATTGTCATTGAACACAGTACACCGAAATTCAGTTTAAATTCAACCAAAAAATGCAAAGAGTAATTCAAGTGAATGAGGTAACAGTATAGGAGGCAGAGCCTGCATGCAGCCCAGCAAGGGCTGCCATTTTCTATCATAAAGCTCAGCAGGTGTGTCCATCTCTCTCCTGGCCTTAGTGCAGGCAGGCAGAGGAGGACAGGCGGAGCCACTCGTTTCTGTAGGAGTTCAGTTGAGTTTAGTTTTTTACTGCCAAATATTTAATATAAATAATGAGATAATATATATGTGAATCTTGTATGGGTTACTTCACTCACAAGCAGGCACCCAGAGTTGTGCAGAAACGTTTTTTGGGTTGTGCAATCTTAGGCAATTATGTGTTTTCTGTGAAAATTCAAATATATAAGCATTTTAATCACACCTCTAAAATATATTTGTTGTCTTTTGCAGTTTGATCAGCATTAACAAGCACCTTGTGGAAACCTCTTATTTATGGTAAGTACACGGCTACTTTCACAATACTTGCACAAGCTGATCTGTGACATTGTCAGTTGTTCAGTGTCAATTGCTAATTCTATTTATTCTCTTTTTCAGGTTATGCATGTGGCAGTGCAAACACTGCAGTTTGGAACTAGCTAGCAGGTATTTGTTGTTAAAACATTTCCAGCAGACACATGCACATTTAAGGGGCAGTTAAACTGTAAAAACATTTTTATGTTCATCTTTGATATAATCCTAATGTGTTTCTTTCTTGTTATTCTTTCACCTTGTTTCTGCTCTAGATTAAAAGGTGTTCCATAACGGCAGGTCGGGCGCTTCTGCGCATCATCTTTGCCGACCAGTCTGACTCTAGAAAACTGACCCTGGATTCGGGAATCCCAGCAACAGTTGAAGAACTGCACACATTTGTCAAGACATCTCTTCAATTGAAAGAGGACTTCCGTCTGCAATACATGGATGTTGACTTTAACGAGTTCATGAATCTTACATCAGTGTCTGAAATTCAGGATAAAAGCACACTGAAAGTAATTTACTCTCCTATATTGTCAAATATTGAGCCCTCCATCACTTAGTACACAGTTGACTCATTTGATAAGACCTCAATTACTGGAAGCTCAGAGTCTCTAATCCCTGCATCATCAATAGCCTCATGCTGCAGTGATGATATGGTGTATACGTCAACCCCGCATCCATCCCCTGAAGCTCAGGCCTCACAATTGTTATCCTGGCCCACAGTTTTTGTGGTTCCTAAGCTCACCTACGAGGCTGAATTTGAGCTTCATCTACAGAATGCAGAGTTTGAGACAACTGGTACATACTTCCAGCCTGGCCTAAAGCTGAAAGGAGTCATTCTTGATGGCCTAGCCCAAGAAATGATCAAATTCACAAAATATCCAAAAGACTATCAGTGTGAAGAGGTAGCTGCAGCGTTGACGAGGGCCCACCCTTGTTTGGGGCAGCTAGGATCCAAGATAGGATTTGGGGGGGTGGAAACAGTCTCTTAAGTACAAAATGCAAAACTATCGTACAAAGCTTGGCCGTCTTGGACATCCTGAAATCCTTGTGAACTCCTTAAAGCACAAGAAAACAGGCCAAGGCAAAGCTGCAGCAAACATAAAAAAAACAAGAAAAGCTGAAATAAACTACATTCCTCTGCACCCAAAAGGCGAAACCACAGAAAGCTTGGAGAACGAGAGAATTGCCTTATTGTCAGAACTGAAAAAGCGTGACAATGAAGTGGTGATAAAAGCAAAAATGGAAAAAACCTTCTCTCACAGACGCCTTGAGATTGTGGAGCAAAGGCCTTTGATAGGGGACTTCAAATGCAGATGGCCTGCTCTGTTTCAGCAGAGTGAAGTAAGTAAATATTTGTATTTGTTGACAGTCTTTTATTATTATCCTTTGTGATTCATGTCTACATCCTTGCATGGTTGTGATTCTAATAAACAAGTAACAATTGGTTGTATTGTGCTTGTTAATAATATTTTTAAGGTGAATGCGGAGTTTTTGAGGATCACAACATCACCACTTCAATCAAAGTTCATGTGGCAGCTGGACCACTTCTCAGACAAGCTCTTGAAGATCTTCAAGATCAAAGGAGGACTAAAGGGCCACAAAATCAAGGAAGCCCTTGCAATATCAGATTTGGTTAGTATAAATGCAGAGAACCTCGTTTTTCACTGTATTGTTTTTGTCCATGCTCATATGAACACATTTAAGAAATTGTCTGCTTTTATAGTGTTTTTAAGGCAATAGCTTATTGTGGAAATGTAGGGGTAAGGAGTCCTGCTTAGGGAAACACACGACAGATACAGCCCTCTACTTTGTAGACCTGCTCTGTTGCACATGCATTGTGCTTAATTGTCTTTGATTTATCGCCCCTGCTTTAGTTTGAAAACATCCACATCAAGAGGGGGTGCATCCTGCGAAGCATCGCGATCTACCTCAACGAGGATCCAGACTCTTTTTTTAAGGACTATCAGGTATGTTTATCACAATATGTTTTCAATGTAGTGGTTAACAGTGTTACCCACAATTATAACCACCATTACTTACATTGATAATAAGAAAATTCTATGGCGCACACAACCCTATCCCTGCTTACATCTAAATATCTTATCACATATCATAAATACATGCAGAAATAAATAAATGTATACATTAATATAGGAATGAATATATGTAAGAATGAATAAATACAGAAATAAAAAAATAATAATAAATAGATACAGAAGTAATTTCATCGGGCAAGTGTTAAAATAAATATAGAAAAAAGTGAATTAATACATTTATACAGATATAAATACATCTATAAATTAACATAGGAATACAATTGATAAATACAAATGTGAATTAAAACATGAATATATCTGGAAATAAATACAAATAATAAATGAATGCTGAAATAAATATTTACATTTATATATAAATACATCTATAAATGAATAAATAAATATGGACATGAATACATATGTAAGAACTTATAAATAATTGAATAAATACATAAATAAAATAATAAATAAATGCTGAAATACAGAAATATATTAATCAATAGATTCATGTTTAAAAAGGTATGTGAATGCAGCAATTACTAAATTGTTAAAGGAATAATTACATAATCACATAAATCAAGGAAATAAATTATTAAATAATAAATAATCAAATACATATCGAAATAAGTAGGTAAATGCATAATTAACTACAGGAATAACAACAAATTACATGATTAAGTAGGGATGTAAACAAATAACTTAATACCTGAATTAATAAATAAGATAAAGTTGATAATCAAACAGAACATACAGGAATATATCTTTATAATTTATTTATGTAAACATTTTCTTACAAGCTTAATTTAGTTCTGTGTTGGAGGTCCTAACCTTCTCTGGTATCACTCAGGACATTTTTGTCCAAATTGGTAATTTTTCACATCAGATTTGGCTATAATGATTTTGTGTTTTTTCTAGATACTTTTTGGAATTTCAATTTTTCTAATCGGTCTCGAATACACTGTGTACAAATTACCCTAATTGTCCATTTAAAAAATGTTCCCACACTTCCCAAAAAGTGTGGGGGAAAAATATTTAAATATAATATTGTTATCATATCATTTTATCATTCAAGTTTTTGAAAGTGGACATTTTTATCCTGAGTGGCCAGATTGGGTAGTACATTTGAGTGATACCAGAGGGTTAGTCTAAAACTGTTTTGATCAATGAGGAGAGCCACATAAGTAAATCTGCTTCTATAAAATGTAGTAATTCAGGTTAGTTAACACATGTGTTGTATGCTTGTGTCTTTGTTCAGGCCACTGCCTCTGAAGATGCCAAGAGGGACATGGCAATCACAGTCATACACACTTCAAAGAGATGTGGATGGGCAGCAAGAGGACGTGGGAATTGTCATCGAAGGCAATATAGTCATGGACAACTTGGGCAGCGTGATTGTGGGGTTTGTCATGCTATTGGGACTTATTTATGCCCTGGATTTGAGCTTTCCGGACAACCTCAAACACACCTTCGAGTTCATGCAGAAGGTAGTGATGAATCTGGATGGGCACAAGCTGAATGGTAAAATCGAAAGTCTGAAGATCAAGTTGTTCGATTGAAATGTGAAAAAGAAGTGACTCATGAGTTCATTGTTGTCATTTTATTCACGAGTTTCCTAATCAGAGCAGATTGAGCCGTTATATCAATCATTTGTGCTTTTCTGTATTTGTTTGTTTCAACACACTGTAACACTATTTCCATATGTTGGTGTTTGCAGTGCACTCTTCATGTTATGTGTTATTGTCCTGTTAGAAGAGCAGTGCATACCCCTGTTATATTGTATTCATTGTATTTGGCAAAGGGAGATTTGTAAGTTAATTATAGGAGTTCCATTTCTCTGCCATTTTAAAAATGGTATTATCTTTCAGAAATGTTTTTCATCTTTCAGTGTGAATTCATTCATTTTAAAACACTATTGAATGGAGGATTGTTTTGAATAATGTGAATTTAAAAATAAAAAAAACTAAACCATGTTTTCTATCATGTGTAACACATTTTTATTAAATTATATTTAACCTCATTATTTCATTTTCAATTAATTAAATAGGATTTAGGTGGACTAGCATTATCTAAATTCATAAAGGTAATGTTATCATTTTACTTAAACTCTATTTGAAAAATTTGAGTTGGACTAACTCATTTACATTATACTGCATGGATGCCATTAGTTTGAGTTTGTGCCACATATATTTATTGGATGGAAAACCTGCCAACAATAAAATTGAGTTAATCCAATGAGTTATTTCTTTGAGTGTTGACAGCCATTTGTAAATTAAGTTGCTCCAGATAATATTGTATTCAATAGGGTTTTTCTCTTAGCTTTTCCATGTTTTGCCTTTAAAGAAAGAAATTAATTGATTCCACAACAAAAATATTAGGCAATTCACTTTTTATTTTTGAACTGCAGTTGTTTATTTCAACACATGATGTTTCAATCAGGAGAGTTTGAATTTCAAGTTGTATTTGAATGACAAAAGACACTCACCTTAAAATGTCCTTTGTATATTTCTATTTGTCTTAACTGTGGGAACTTGTCCAGGCATCTTAAGTGGGAGTGGACTTGAAATCCTTAACTCAACAATTAAGTTATCAAGCCAATTGCATTACAATACCTCAACTTGAATTTAGTTGGAAATCAATTAATGCAGAAATCAGAGTTCAAATGACACAATATTAAGTTGATGTAATTACCAACATTATTACGTCAACACAACTTATAAATTAATGTTGCAACTTAAACTGTTTATCTAAATCAATTAACTCACATTTTTTATCTTGCAACCAGTGCATTTAATTAAGTGGAGGTGAAAGGTCGCTTGAATTGTTTGTTTTTTTAGAGGTACAGATCACTCATTTTGATATTAATATTAAACTTAGTTTTCTTTTCTTTAATTTTTCATCCTCGTGTAGAATGCTATCACGAAACACACATTTGGTTGTTTATAGCATAAAGAACATCTGAGTTAATGTGAGGTAGGGAAATACTCATTTGAGTATGTGCATATAAATATGTAATTTACAACAGCTGTAAGATGCTTGAAAAGTGCTTGAATTTGATTTTGGAAAAGGTGTAAGAACCCTCTTATTGACCTTTGCCTGAAGGTGACGAACACGACTGTGTGCACACCTAGACCGGACTTAAAAGACGTTCCTCTGACCAACGCTGACCTCATTTTGTATGTTGATGGGTCTGCCTCTCGCGACCAAGGGGGCACTAATCAGGTGGGGTTTTTCCTGTTGTTTCAGATTCTGCTGTACTCCGTTCCGGACCAATCCCATGTCACCTCTCATAACAAGCAGCAGAGCTCATCGCACTAACTGAAGCCTGCACGTTTGCAGAAGGCAAAACCGTGACTATTTACACTGACTCATATGCTTTTGGGGCAGTGCACGATTTTGTGGCTATTTGGAAGTGTAGACAATTTCTGCAAGCAGTACAGACCCAGTTTCCCTAAGAAATTGGGTCTGCTAATTTACCTGCTGACTCAGCCGCAAAGGAAGAGTCTGATTCCTCTCGCACCTCACACACCTTACACTCATTTGTTAGAATCCCTGTCTCCTCCTTCACTGACAACATGTCGTCACTTCAGCAGCTAGCTGAGAAGGCTCGGTGGAGGGCTGTTGGGGCTGTTTTTGACACATGGGTTGGACAATGTGTCAAAAGGGGGGATGTTAGAGGCTATAAATCAGGTTCACAAGGGGGGTGAAGCATGCCTAATTTGCATTATGCAAAATTCATTTGAGCACCTAATGCTGGATTTAATTGAGTTTAGCCCATCAGAGCATCTTAAATTAGAACAACGGTTCACATTTTGCTAAAGAGGGAACGGCACAATCAAAAACAAACTAGCAAAATGCTGTGCAGACACAGGTCTGTCATGGACACAAGCTCTGTCCATTGTGCTGATGTACATGCGGATATGGGAACGAACACGGAGCCAACTCAGCCATTTGAAATCCTTTTTGGGGCTCCTCCACAGATTGGACTCAAGGCTCCAGGATGTCCTCTTCCCTCCACAACTTTGTGTGAGGATGCTATGTTGCTATGTTGTATGTTAACCTGTCATCCACTTTAGCGACTGCCACTGGTCCACTTAACCATCTCCAACCCGGCGACTTCGTGCTGGTCAAGGATTTCCGGAGAAAGAGCTGGAAATCCAATCGTTGGCCCCTACCTGCTTCTGGTCAACCAGACAGCGGTCAAGGTCGCCGAGAGAGAGCTACGTGGTTCCACGCCAGCCACTGCAAGGTCGTAGTCACAGGAAAGGAGAAACGGTAGAAGCAGAAGACAACAAGTGACGTGTCCTAGTCACCAACAGAAGAAGAAGACGACAACAAGTGACGTGTCCTAGTCACCAACGGAAGACAACAACAAGTGACGTGTCCTAGTCACCAACAGAAGAAGACGACGACAACAAGTGACGTGTCCTAGTCACCACCAGCACCACACTTGCACTACATACACCAAAACATACTACACACAAGGTGTCACAAGTGAGTGCCAGCTGAGCGGTTCCATATGCTCTCTGGTTCCTCGTTTGTGTTACCGGTGTGCGGAGTCTGACTGTCCGTGTCACAAAATCAACCGAGGGAATACACACACACACCATGGAGCATTCCCACCTCGTGATGACGGCTCGCCTGGGAAAACGACGACGCAACCGTGAGCAATGTGGATACTACTGGAGAGCCTGGACAATCATAAAATGGTTCCTCTGCATACTTGCCATGATAATTGTGTTAGGACTAGTCCTATATTTCATGTATCCATGGTCAGCACACAGCATGTCAGCCAAAATCGAGGTATCTAAGAGGTACATGGGGAGAGCAGGGCGAACCACATGGGCAGAGGGGCTGGTCAAGACAGGGATTGGTAACATTACTCTAAGGGATGGGGAAGATAGCACAGTGCAGTTACGGTGTTTACAATATCTCGTATTGCATATTCAGTGTCCCTGGAAGAATCCTTTCTAACGTAGCATTCCCTGATGTTAACCATACTTCCCTCCAACTGGCCTGGCCCAGTAGTGCTGGGTTTAGCTCGCCACAAGATTATGTTTGGTTGTGCGGCGACAAGCTCTATCAGATGCTGGCTCCCCTCTGGATAGGTACATGCACTCTAGTGGATTTGAATCCAGCAGTCACTGTCCTCACGTCCTTAATGTACACGACACATCATTACCCAGAGTTCCAACACCACGAACACCACAAGGTAAAAAGCCCATAACATAGATACCTTACACGTTAGACTAGAGAACCTCACTTACGAGACGACGCAAGGCTTCCAGGCAATTGCCCCCATTCATAATAGCCTCTAGGAACATGCTCATGCAGCACCAATTTGCTCTTGACCTGTGTCATATGATCGGTGACTCCTGTTGCACTTACATTCCCGACGCCACCAAGAACATCCCTGACACCGTGCTGCATCTTAACAACCTGTTAGCCGACATGAAAGCGGATGACATATCCAACGCAGGCGGCTGGGACTGGTGGTCCTGGCTTACATCGGGCGGGTAGGAAGGATGGCTGGCTAGGATAGTTACACCCCTGGCGATCATTTTCGGCCTATTAATCAGTTGTACCTGTTTGATTATCCCAATACTGAAGAAAGGTTTTTCCAGCCTGGTATCCTTAGCTTTCGTTCAGTATACTGCTATTCCATTACAAGACAATCCTTTGCGCCACAGTGAGATAGACCAGCTAGAATCAGAAGAGTCTGATTCCGACACTACAATATAATCATGTGAATCGAGTGTACTCTCCTCTTCTGCTTACATTATATTGGAGTCTGTCCTCCACAAAAACAGCCAATTTTCTATGATATATTTGGGATGTGTTTACTTAAACCAGCGATGGAGTGTATTCATTGATGTGTTATATCAGTCTATCCTGTTATTTGTTGTTTTTTTATTGATCAAGTATGATCAAAAGGGGGGAATGTAGTGGAAATGTTATTATATCCTGATATGTTTAAACCAAATGCTTCTCATTTGGTTAGATGTGCTGTTTGCCTCTATCTACTCTACTTCAAGGCCATAGAGCTGTTTTGGCTACTGGGTTGAGACTCACACAAAGTCACACGAGAACTTCTACAGCTCAAGGCCAGGTGTCTAATAACAATGTGACCGTGTGAAGACAGATTTCTTACCTTCCCACCCCTTATTGTATATAAGCCTTTTTACTCTATTGAACTGCGCAGACAGATTTCTTACCTTCCCACCCCTTATTGTATAAGCCTTTTTACTCTATTGAACTGCGCACACTCGCGCAGACATATTTTATACTCTGTGAGACCAGTGTCTATATTTTATTGTATCTAATGTTTGTTTGAGGCCTCGAATAAACATCACCAGAAAGACAACTCTGTCTGATTCACCATTTATCTGTTTTAATCACTCTGACTTGTACTCTACAGTATTGGGGTTTTTAGATTTCCATAACAGCACGTGCACGGTTGTGGCATGACCACCAAAACAGAAAGATATTGGACACAAGATGTGTGCAAATGTATTTAGTTTCCTATCCATGTGAACATGATTTAAGTGTGGGGGGGGGG